CGCGCAGGCGTTGGAAGGGCAGTTTGCTGCACACAACCTCTACCTGACCCCCACCTCTACATCTCACTCTTTTTTGTTTTGTTAGACGAAATATCGTCGTAAGAGGGGTTAATAAAAGGATTATAATCAGGAGAGGAGCATCCTTGCAGTTGTTTATACAGGGCAAAAACTTGACCCTGAGGCAATGTGGGAGAGAATTTGGGGCTAAAAGCTCTGATACATATATTGCAAAATGAAGGAATACATTGCAGAAAACAGCACCCACCAAGATCCTAAAGTATCAATTTTCAAATCAGAGGCCAAATTGTGTAAAATATTAATCTGGTGCTGGATGGTTCGTGAATTATCAGAAATATTAAAACAACACTTTCCCTCAAAACTTACACAACCCAAATGCTGACGCAGAAGCAAATAATCGATAGCAACGCGATTTTGCAAAATAGCTTTTCTCAAATCTTGCAGCTCATGGTTGATTGCTGACATAGCTGAAGAAGTAGCATTAATTGTTTTTGCTAAATTACATGCAATAGCATTAATGTTGATGTGAGCATGAACAGCAAGTCCTGGCACACCCACTAAAGACATAGTCAGTGCCACATATTCTGCTTTATTAAGTAAGGTTGTCTCAGAGTCACAAGTGCTGTCTAGCGTGACCCCACGTCGAGAACGGTTCGAGTGAACTTGTTGTTTGGAAAGCAAAACAGGAATCAGCCGGCTGAGGCAACACTGCGCTTCATTAATATTAGCAGGAATATAATTAAAAGTTTCTTGACCACACGTAAAAAACCATCCTTGCAGTAGCCAAATATGTCCAAAATGAAAGAAAGTCTCTTCAAAAGCTGTGCAGTTTAAAACAGGTGAACTAATGCGACGACAGTGAGGTTTTTTACTTGAAGAAGTACAATTAACTATTTTTGCACATGTTATATTTGCAGGGATTGCTACCACCGGGGTGTGCAAAGCAATAGTGTCGGGGTGAATAATAAGCAGTAACCCCCCCAGCTAGATATAGCCTTATAGTTAAAGTTCCCATTGAATAAAATTCTGCTCAAGCCAGTGAAGTTTTGAATTACTGCAGAAGGGGTGCAAACAAAGACTAAACATGTAGAAAGCAAATTTTCCATGTCATACATTTCAGATAAGCAAAAGACATCATTTTGTGTGATGTTAGCCAGCTGCACCCATAGATTTTGCTTCATTCGTTGCTCAAATGATTGTTTGGGTGGGATGACAGTTGCTGTTGTCAAAGAGCAGATGTTAACGATCAGACACAAACAAATGATGGCTAAGGAATTTGCAGTTAAAACCGCAAAAATGGCAGCGCACAGGTTCTCGGGGATTTGCTCTACTTGTTGCTGTTGTCGCACTGCCTGTGCTTTGGCAGTCAAGTTCTTCACATCTCCCCATGTCACTGGCCGACTGGCATGTCGGGATCGGATTGGTTGCTGTGCCATCTGTAGAGTCACCCTTGCCATTTCTGGGACCGGGTCCAGGGACTGGTGTCACGACATCCCTGGCTGGGTGAACGTAATGTGCTGGAATTCACAAAGGTCCTGTAGTAGTAAGCACAGCAGCATAGCCTCGCCCCCAAGTGATCAGAGGGACCGGTCCCAACCATGCTTTGTCGAGTAATGCCCGATAATATACTAGAGGTGGAGGCAAGCTTGTTTTCTGTTGAAAGTGTCTCTGATAAGTGGTCGAATTTTGAATGGAAATATTCAATTGGTGTAATGTAAATAATACTTTTTTAAACTGTTGTGTTACCCATGACAAATTGGGTACCCTAGATATCCGTCCTTTTTTATTTGTTTGTGAAGGCAGTCCTTAAAGGACCGATTAGCACGTTACACGATGGCTTGATCCGTGGAATTATAGGGAAGGCCATGAGTAAAAACAATATTCCAGGTTGTGCAAAATTGCAAAAAGGCCATTGAAGAATAGGCTGGCCCATTATCAGTTTTTAAGGAAGAGGGCTTACCCAGGGCTGTAATGGCCGAAAAAAGATGAAAAATAACATGTGCAACAGTTTCTCCTCGTTGAGGAGTGGCCCAAATTGTTTCTGAATAGGTATCAATAGATAAATGAATATATTCCCAGTAAGCCAAAAAGAGAACATGGGTAACATCCATTTGCCATAGTTGATTAGAGGCAAAACCATGGGGATTAAGAAGACATAAAAAAAAGTTAGGCCCAGGAAGGGAGGAGTGACTGCGTATATGAGAAATAAAATATAAATGCTTTCAGTCTTGTAGCAGCTGCTGTCAAGGGAAAAACAAAGTCATGAGATTGGGGTCGATCCTGGGCGTGATGTAAGCACCTGGAAGATTAAAAATAAGTTGGCACACATAATGAGAGTCAGAGATTAAGTTAAAAGGCTGTTGAGAAAAGGTGTGAAAAGCCAAAATAGCAGCAGATAATTCTGAGCATTGTGGTGAGGATTGTATTGCAGTGTAGGACACTTTCCAGGTATCATCATAAGGATCCTTGTAAGCAATTGCTCCTCTCGTTCTCCCTCCATCGGAAAAAACAGTAGGAGCTTGTGGCAAGGGAGAAGGAGAAAGCAGTGGGCGGACAGGAAAGGAAAAAGACATTAAACCAGGGCTTTTCAACCTTTTCACCCATTGTACCACTTTTCAGATAAGGCAATATCCGAGTACCACCACTCGCAAACAAGGTATCAAAAACTTGAACCCCCCCCCAAAAAAAGGAAAAAAATGAGAAAGTACAGGTAGTCCTTGACTTACAACAATTCGCTTAGTGACTGTTTGAAGTTACAAGCGAATTATGACCATTTTTCACACTTATGACTGTTGCAGCATCCCCAGGGTCTTGTGATTTACATTTGGATGCTTGGCAACTGATTCATATTTATGACGTTCAGTGTCCCAGGGTCATGTGATCAATGGCGGGGGGGCATGGCCAGCTGATCACTCAGGTTGCAGGGTGCCTGTGGGGGGAATCCGTGGGTCTCTGGTGGAGGGGGATGCGACTGTGGCAGGTGCCTGCCTGCCTTCCCTCCCTCTTTCCCATTGTCCCTTCCTTCCTTCTTTCCTTCACCTCCCCCTTTGTCTCTTCCTCCTTCCCTCCCTCTTTCCCATTTCCCTTCCTTCCTTCTTTCCTTCACCTCCCCCTTTGTACCTTCCTCCTTCCCTCCCTCTTTCCCATTTCCCTTCCTTCCTTCTTTCCTTCACCTCCCCCTTTGTTCCCTTCCTCCTTCCCTCCCTCTCTGTCAAGCCCCCGCGGGCTTGACATGAACAGGCGGGGGGAGGGGTCGAGGACGACATGCGGGGCGGCAAAGGAGACCAGCAGCCAGCGCCGTTCTACCTGGCAGCGTGGATGCCTCCCAACCAACAGCTGAGCGGCTCCTACTCTTAGCCGCCGAACAGCTGATGGGCGGGAGGCAGAGGCAGGGAGGCAAGGGCCGATGGAGCAGCCTGAAGCTGAAAGGCTCTGTCTCTCGGCCGCCGAACAGCTGATGAATGCGAGGCCCGGTGCACAGCCGAAAGACGCTCACGGGACTGGAAGGCTGCAGCGCTGCAGCTCCCATTGCCCCTTCCTTCCTCGTTCCTTCATCCTGTGCTACGCCGCCCAGACCCCAACCTGGTTTTGGCAGGCAGCAACACATCACGGCCCTGCCTGTGCGCGCAGAGGCAGAGGAGAGCACACAGGCAGGGCGGGAATGTGGCCGGTTCACCTCCCACTTTCAGGCACGTACGTTAGAACCGGCTTACATGAAGAAGTGACTTCCCCCCCCCTCTAATAATTGACTTTCTCCTAGCTTCTCCAGCTTTCCCTAGCAGGAAGAGATCAGCCCCTCTCGCTTGTCTGATCCAAGGGGTGCACGGGCATCCCAAGACCCGCTCCAGGTCCCCACTAAGCCACGATTCCCGGTTTGTAGAAAAGATGGGGGAGAAAGGCGATCAGTCAGCCAAGAGCCCAGCTGTTTCAGACTTTAAGCCAGGGCTTTTCAACTTGGCGGGCGGGCAGGCCGGCCATGGTGGAAATGGGGAAGGGTTAAATGCTGCGAAACAGTGGGGAGGGGGAGACTCAGGCGGCCGCATTTCTCCCTCCACACCCGCGTTCTGTTGGCTTTGCCTAGCGCGCGTCAGTAAGAAGAGGGAGGGGAAGGGCAATACAGATCCCACTGACCTGCGTGCACCAGAAGAAGTCAATCCGGTTGCTGCACAATGAGTCCCTGGGGAGGGCGGGGCCTTGCTCTGCACCTGTGCTCTTCGCGCGCCACCTGCAGGGCATGTTCGGTAGGATTTGTGCAGGCTGCCGCCAAACAGCATGTTTTCCACAAACAAGTGAGCTGGGAAGGAGCGGAGGAGGGGGGGAGGAAGGTGACGCGTGGGGGAGGAAGGCGACGCCGCGTACCACCAGCCAGGTGGTCGCGTACCACCAGTGGTACGCGTACCACCGGTTGAAAAGCCCTGCTCTATAGAACATCATTCTCCCTAAGATAGGGGTGCCCCCCACCCTATTGCTTTTCTAAAAGGCCCTAAAACATGGTTTTGTCAGCGGACCTGGAGAATACTAATGGAGATGGAGCCAATCAAGTGGCTGTTTTGATGGTGTTGTTGCTATGGGGAGTGGAGTGCTTTTTTTATAGTGTTTTTATTATTTGGTGGGTTTTTAAATAGCAGTAGCAATAGCACTTAGACTTATATATTGCTTCATAGTGCTTTACAGCACTCTCTAAGTGGTTTACAGAGTCAGCATATTGCCCCCAACAATCTGGGTCCCCATTTGGACCTCGGAAGGATGACCTTGAGCTGGTCGGGATCAAACTCCTGGCAGTGTGCAGAGTCAGCTACAATACTGCATTCTAACCACTGTGCCACCACAGTTCCTAGCTTATAAATGTTATAAGACACCTGGCGTCACCTATGTGTGAATTGGGCAGCTATTGTATATAAATTTGTTTAATAATAAAAAATTTCCTAGTTTGTACCATTCATCTCAGCAGCAACCAATTTTCTAATGAGTTGACCACTCACTCTTGTCCACTTCTGCATGGGGTTCTCCCAGACTCATGGGGATCCGGAAGGTGGAGGCATTCTCGGACTCAATGAGGCAAGCCAGCTCTTCATTGGTTAGGTCGGGTGGTGAAGAGATGTGCTGGGATCTGCAGACATTGACAAAAATCTTCTCACCAGAACTTGTGTGGGTTTTAAGGCAGAATCCTAGGCAGGGAAAAAAAGGTGCCAAATGAAGATGTCACACACGCAGCAAAACTAAAAGTGACAATATCTTTCCTGCAATTTGGCAGACCAAATTTCTTCCTATCTTATTGTAGGATTCAAATGTGGTGGGATGCAAGTGGAAATTGAGCCCATCCACTGCTAACTAATTCTACTGAAATAAAGCAAGAATTGTCCAGGATCAGTAAAACTCTGTAAACCCTATAAAATCTTACAGATCAGGCTAGATCAGGCTTATTTGAACAATCCCAACCCTACCCTACCCTACCCTACCTTACCCTACCCTACCCTTCTACTCTGCTTCTGTCCCACCCACAGCAGCGTAGCAACTGGAACTGATATTTTTTCTAGCTTTCCAAATTTCCCTGCAAAAGCTTCTCTTTTGTTGTTTAAAAATCTTCTCCGTTTTGATACTATTTTTTTTACATGATAGGAATATAATGTAGTTATTTTTGTAATAGTCCACCTTTTTTTATATAAAAGTTTTATTGGTTTTTTCCATTTTTTTACAAAAGCTTAGGACACAACGTGGTGGTCAGAGTGTCAAATCATTCAAAAACAAAATCATATACATATAGCTCAAATTAATTATAAACAATTTCCTCTCTGTAAGGAATAATATTACTTATTAAAATTAATACAATTTTAGATAAAGTTCAATCAAAAAATCCTCAATCACCTTGCAATTATGATAATCTATATCCTGTGTTAAGCTTTACTAATTACAATTGTCATATTCCAGTTACATTTCAATAGACATATAGTTGGGATTTCAGGTATCCTTAATAATAGATCGTTCATTAAAACTATTTTTTTCCCTATCACAAGTGGCTCTACTCTCTCTCTATTAAAGTGTATTTTTCACGTTTAAAATAACAATATAAATCCAACAAATACAATTCTATTTTTAAAAATATATTCTATCATTTCATCAATCCACATCTATAAAAAATCTTTTTAAGCCCTTTTGTAAAGTTTACACCTTCAAGTACTTATCAAGTATAATGTCAGGAAATTCCCAGCCTTCATTCATTATTAAATCAAACAGAAATTCTCTATTTCAAAATAATTATCATATTTAAAATAATAGTGTAGTTCCAAAAAACAAACACATATCTATTTTTAAAAACATGTTCTATCATTTCATCACTCTACGTCTATAAAATCTTTTTAACCCCTAAACAAGTTTGCTCCCTAATAATTATCAACTATGATAACAGTCAATTCTCATCCTTCTTTCATTGTTAAATCAGACAAAATCTCTAAAGCCTTTTTAACCCATCAAGTAACATTTTATATCACATTTAAACCTGACTCTAGCTTTCTTTCTAGGCCAAGTTGGTTCCCATATTAAAACTTTTCGATTATCAAACCTCAAACTTTGGTTACAAAAGTTTCTAATCAATTCAAACTGAGCAAAATTTTCTTCTCTTCCTGCCAATATCATCTGGGTGTTATATTGACTTTTATTCCATATTATAATTGTAAATAAGTTATCCGCTTTGTTGTAGTTTCCAGAAAGTTGTATCTGAGTGTCAATCTTTGTAGTTTTCAATAGTTGAACTGAATCAGTTACAGTTAGTTCTTGATCATCCAAGTTATCCATCCATTGTAGGTAACGTTGTGTAGAATTAGTTGGCTCAGTGGTTACCACCTTTTCTCCCAGCGTAGATTCACCATTGGGTTGTAAGCATAATGTCTGTGTCTCTTTAGATTGTGTGTCTTGATGTGTGAAAGCCTGTTCAGTATTGCTCTGTTCTTCCTCTGGTGTTCCTTGTTCCATGGCTTGATTCATTGTTGGAGGGTCCGTTGGAAGTGCCAAGGTGGCATCTTTAGATTGTCTCCTAGATTTCCAATAAGTTTTGAAGTCTGCTGTCATTTCAAAAAAAAATTCCAATATTGGATCATAGTCAAGATATGGAGTATTTTCTTCCATTTTGGTGGTAGACTAGCCTATTCCTTTATTAGAGACTATATTTAACAAAAGTCCACAAATGTCCGCCTCCAAAGGTCTAATAGCCAGCTTCACCACCCAAATGTCAGATTATCTTTTCTTTTTTATTGTCATATGAAATCCAATCCCTCTTCCAATCACAAAGATAGAGTTGTAATGTCACTTTTGGCCACCAGATGTCCTCAGTGGACTGCAAGATCTTTTTTCCAAGTTGATAAAGAAACAAAAAGTTTTCACTCTTATTTTTTTTTAAATTTAACAAGAGAGGTATCTCCAACGTTATAAAGTTGATAGGAACAAATTAGCAATGTCCTTTTTTTCTTCTTTCCCCCCTAAATATCCCCACAGAGAAAGTCCAATGGTAGAAAAAACAACCAAAAAAGACAAAGAGTTTTTTTTAAAGCTCTTTTTCCGATATAGGCAGCCACCGCTTTCTTAGCAAAGGGAAATAGTCAGAGCTCTTTACAGGAAAGATCAGGATAGCGAGAGAAAAGGGAGTCTCACCCGGATTCACCACGGTGGGTCTTCATGCTTAGTTGTTCTTTTGACTTGCGGTTGGTGCAGCTGGGTGATCGGCCATTTTACTGGCCAATCTTCTTCTCGGTCGGCCCTCAGAGTTTGCTCGCACAGACTGACTACAAGCAGCGGCATGACAAAGTAGCAACAACGGTGCATTGGAAGATCTGCAAGAAATATCATTTGCCTGTAAGCAAGAACTGGTGTTATCATAAAATAGAGAAAGTCATAGAAAATGATAAAGTTAAACTGCTCTGGGACTTCAGAATTCAAACAGACAAGCACCTGCAACATAACACCCTAGACTTAACAATTGTCGATAAGAAAGACAAAAAAGTCTGGATAGTGGACGTGGCAGTGCCTGGAGACAACAGAATAGACGAGAAAGAACTGGAGAAGATAACAAAATACAAAGACCTACAAATAGAAATAGAAAGACTGTGGCAAAAGCAAGAAAGGGTAGTACCAATAGTAATAGGCGCCTTGGGTGCAATCCCAAAACAACTGGAGCACCACTTGAACACCATTGGCACTGACAAATTCGCCATTAGTCAATTGCAAAAGGCGGCCTTACAAGGAACCGCTTCCATCCTGCGACGATATCTGTAATACCATCAAACATCCACATCTGCGTATCCCAGGTCCTGGGTAAGGACTCGATAGGTAGACAAAAATGCCAAATCCAGTCTGAACATCTGGCTGACTGTGCGATGATCAATAATAATAATAATAGTAGTAGTAGTAGTAGTAGTAGTAGTAGTAGTAGTAGTTATTATTATTATTATTATTATTATTATTATTATTATTAATCTCATTCTCTAGAAGTGATCAGACAGACTCATTCAGTCACAACTGCAAGGACAACATGTGGGAAAAAAGACAAAAAGAGGACAAAGCCACTTTAACCTGGAATTTTGGAAAGTGTACAGTAGATCAACACTTTTGGTACATGCCATGTGTAGAAAAGCTGACATTGTGCATCATAATAAACAAGCAGAGTCATTGGACAGTGGATCAGGAAGACTGCCTGCTCTGGATTCTGTCATACGATGAAGGGAAGGGGGTGAACAAAGGGGCTTTATGGCCCTCACTTCCTTCAGCCTACTTCAAAGGGACTGGATGTGGATATCACCAAACGGACTAACAATAACAATGAGGGTCATTAGCTTTCATGTAATCCTTTTGGAAGTCTCCTCCTGGCAATGAGGAAAAGGGGGTGAGANGGGTGAACAAAGGGGCTTTATGGCCCTCACTTCCTTCAGCCTACTTCAAAGGGACTGGATGTGGATATCACCAAACGGACTAACAATAACAATGAGGGTCATTAGCTTTCATGTAATCCTTTTGGAAGTCTCCTCCTGGCAATGAGGAAAAGGGGGTGAGAATGTAATGCCTGGGATTGTCGCTGGGAGAAGGGGGTGATGGGGGTATGGCTAATGGGGGATCCCTTAAAACCTTGAATGGGAGAGCTTGGACCCAAGTCCTGTCTAGAACGCCTGCATCCAGCTTTCTCTTAATAAAGATGCCTGTTGGAAGAAATATTCCAGGAGTTCTGTCTTCTTAAGATGCAAAGTGGGGTGGGTCCTTACATTAGACAGGACTTGCAAAATTAGTCCACCTGGAAGAAAGACCCTTGCCGGGGGACTTTGCAAAAACTACCATGTCAGACAGTGGAGCAAGGAAGGGAGAAAACTCCCCGGAAAGGGAGCCGGAAAGTGAGCCGCTGCCCTGGCTGAAACCCTGCCAGCTGTCGGGATCTGAGAGGTCAGAATCCTCAGGAGAAGAGGTGGTGGAGACACGGGACCACAAACCTCGGTGGTTAATGGACGTTGGAAAGAAAGGCGAGTGGGGAAAGAAATCAAGAAAGGTGACTCTGAGACAGGGGCCCAAACAACCAGAATGGAAGCAGGAGATGGAGAAATCCCTGCACGCAAGTGAAGAGGAAGGGAGCTGGGCACCGTACTCGGGCTGGATTCTAGAGAAAGCAATCGACCTAATGAAGCGAACTCTCAGCTCCCTAGGAGAGGGGAATCCTGAGCCCTACGCCCGCCCCAGCTCCTGGAGCCACAAAGGGAGAGACAACGAAGGGGAAGTGGAACCTGCAGCCCCGGGGACATCTACTGATCCAGTAGTCCCCACTCTCCGCCGAACCACAGATGGAAATCTGAATGGAAGAGACTACCACCGAGAACGAAGGCACCGATCCATTCAAAGACGTCCGCCGCTGGAGGTGAAATTCAAAGGGGAGCCAACACACTTGGGATTCTTCCTAACCCAAGTCCTCAGCTACACGGAGGAATACGGGCAGGACATCCCCAGCGACAAAGCCCGTATCCGGATTGTGCAATCTGCCTTAGACGGGCCGGCCGCAGATTGGGTGGTGAACTTGCACGACTCCAATGCCCCAGAGCTCAATGACTTCAACCGTTTTATGTCCTCCCTGAGAAGACGATTTGAGGACCCCCTGGCTGATCGCAAAGCCCGCAAAAGGATAAAAACGATGAGGCAAGGCAAACGCCCGGTAGCCGAATATACACAAGAATTCCGGGCCATTGCCAGCAAACTGAACTGGCCAGAAGACATCCTCCTTAGCCATTTCAAAGACGGACTAAATTATGACCTATATGATGCTTGCCTGCCCCGAGGGGACCCACACCAACTAGAAGAATGGTACGTCTTGGCAGAGGAAGCAGAGATCGACATATTGAAGAGGCACCGCCGAGGAAAACAATGGAGCCGCTCACCGCCTGAGCTGACACGCGAACCAGTGAAACCATTGGCCACGGCCAA